TTTAGGGCTCAAGGTTTGTGCTTTGGAGGTTTGGGTTTAGGGACAGGGTTTAGGGTTAGGGTTTAGGGTTAGGGTTTAGGGTTTAGGGTTTAGGGTTTAGGGTTTAGGGTTTAGGGTTTAGGGTTTAGGGACAAGGTTCACTTGTTTCGGGCTAGGGTGCTCAGCCCCTTACGAAACTAAGCCTCAATGCCAATGGCCCGACACTCCAAACTAAACCCTAGCGCCTTCTTTGCGGATCATGGAGCCAAAACACCCCTAAACCCCTCCTAAACCCTGAACCCCGGACCCCTAAACCCTAAACCCTAAACCCCAAACCCTAAACCCTAAAACCTAAACCGTAAACCCTAAACCCTAAACCCCTAAGCCCTAAACCCCACAAAGCTCAGAACTGCCGCACAGCAAAGTCCTGCGAGGCAGCATCGACCCCTCCCAGGCCTCAACTCACCCCCAAACCCAGGCCGAGACAGCAAGAGATCTGTTTGGTTTAGGCTTTAGGTGTAGGGTTTTGGTTTACGGTGTAAAGTCTAGGGTTTTGTCTGAGGGTTTAGTTTAGGATTTAGGTTTAGGTTTTGGGTTTAGGGTTTTCCAGCAAAGGCCCCGGATCTTATACTCGGAGTCATCAGCCCCGTGCCCTAAAGCCTGATAATCCCTACTAAGACAGGAAACTTCGTAGACCTCTTATAGGAACCTCGGTGTGTCCCGTCCAGAAGGGAACCTCTTATGGATAGTTCTTTCTTAAAGAACGGAGCTCTTATGACCTTTGTTGCAGAACAGCGGAACCACCAACTTTCTCCGGGCTCAGCCTTAAACCCTGAACCCCAAACCCAAACCCAAACCCTAACGCCTAAACCCTAATCCCTAAACCCTAAACCAAAGACCCTGAACCAGAAAAGCCGAAACCGAAAAGTTTGGGTTTTGGGCTTAGGGTTTAGAAGACGGCTCAACCTCTAGCCCAGGGCTCCTGCGAAGCTTCGAGAAGCAAGATCTCCTGCTGAATGCTCGAGTGTGGCTGGGATGCGCATGGTTTACACGGTTTAGGGTTTAGGGTTTAGGGCCTTGCTTCGGGTTCCTTTAAAAGGTTCTTTAGTTGGTGGTTATAAATTCATAAAGACTAGTATAGCGGACATAATGATTGTCTTTAGGGTCTGCTATACCTTGAGATTAGGGGTCAGGTTTAGGGTCTGGCTAGGGCGATGGAAGATCGCAAGGGGCAATTGTCCAGCACCCAGCATAGGATAATGGAGTGTAGCAGTACTGGCGTCATGTGCCTCCGCACAACAGCAAGCCCGGAACCCTTGTTTCCGCATCCTCCGAACGAGACATCTTCTGCCCCAACGGTTGCAACCCAAAGCACTAGAAAACTGGCGTCATTCTAAGAGGTTTAATTTAAGCTATTATAGTAAAGAAACCATATTGTTTACTATAGATCCCTACTATGGTAGCTTAAAATGAATCCCCGAACAAGAGCCCAGACAAGCAATTCCTGAAGCCCCGAAGGTTCTACCAACACGCACCACCCGTCTTTCAGGGCCAATAAGCATTCCGGTCTGGGTTTAGGGCTTAGAGTTTAGGGTTTAGGGTTTAGGGCTTAGGTCAAAAGTTTCACTATGCATGCTTGCTAAACCTGGGTGCTTCCAAGCTGTCATCGTGCTCGCTCATCTGTTTTTCCCGGCCTCTGGTTCCCCGCTGCCGCGCCGTGCTTCACAGCTAAGAATCATGATGCCAGCGTCTCGAGCATGTGCCTATGTTTGTCTTGTGTTAATTCTCAGACTGCGGCATCAATCCCCAAACCCCTCGACTCTACTCTCGCCTTTGGCGTTTCGAAGCTCTTTGAGAAGAGCCGGTTGCTTTGCACAACCATGTCCAGACTATGAAGTAAGCCTGGGTCTGTGACCTTTTCATGGCCGTCACGGATTTAAGAGTGCTTCGCCTCTTGTCCAGCTCCGCCTCCGGAACTGCCGGGTTGTAGCTGGCAGCATGTGTGGACCTTGGATGCAACTGTGTGATCGGCTCAACATGATGACCCTTGATTCTGCTGCTATGGGTGCTGGCGAGCTGCTTCCCCTCGAAGAAGCAGTTCGAGAGGAGTTTGCCTTGAAAGTGCGGTAGCGTAGCATCGGTGTGGACGGTGTGATGCATAGTCGCTCCATCTGGAACGGGCATCGTCCTCGTCAAGTCCTCCGGCAAAGTGGCTGTAGACGAGGAAAGCAGTGCCCGCGATGCCCGATTCTGCAGCTCTGCCGACGGCAGCGGCTCCTGCAGCTCGTCATAACACGAGGCTAAGCATACAGAGCTCTAGCAGCTGATGGTCCTCCTCTTTCTCTTCCTTTTCTCTTTCCTCTTCCTCGTCGAGCCTTGCAAGCAGCTCCTTGCAGGCCTGTGCTGCAGGATCTTCCTGCAGCTCCTCCCACTCGACTTCTGCCGCCTTGTGAGCGATGGTTTCTCTGCCTCTCTACGTCTCTTCTTTCTTTCTTTCTCTGACTCTCTCTTTCTGTCGGTCTCTCACTCAAGGCCGCAACAGAACATGTATGAATATGTTCTCAGAAAAGCGCCTCGTCCACATCATCGTCGTTCTTCTCTTTCTCTTTCTCTTTGTTTCTTTTCTTTGCATCTGCTTCATCCAATCGAGCCAGCAGCTTCGCGATTGTGCTTGAAGCACAAGCCTCCTTCACCTTGTCCATAGCCAAGATTCTCCTCACCTTGTGAGCTTTCGTTGAGTTCTTGGGCATCTGGATGTCGTGCTTGTGCAGCAACTCTGTCAAAGAGGCGCTGGAGCTCGTCAGGATGAGCTCTGAGTGCACCAAGAAGCAAAGCAGACAAAACTCTTGAGAGCTTCGCCTCAGCACAACTGCCGAGCCGCACTTGTCTGCGAGGCTTCCCTCGCAGACGTGCAAGGTGTAGTCAAAGAGCTTCACCTTGCAAAAACCATGAACAATCAGTTCACGGCGTCGTGTCAACTACCCCAGAAGCCTCCTCGTAGTCGAAGCGGAGCTGCTGAATCATGGTCCTGCAGCAGTCAGTAATTGAAATTTGATTGCAGCACTTCTGTCCCAGCCCCACCTTCCACAGTCCAGCACCAGAGCAGGTGTGCTCGAAGAGGGGCTCAGCAGATCCGCCTTGTCGTTCGGATGGCAAGGCATCCGCGTCTCGTCAGCCGTCGCCGCCGGGAGGGGCCCCTTGAAGAGGTAGGGAAGCTCTTTCAAGCGAACGGCCTCAGACCGGGGAACATCGCATATGCTTTCGGAGCAAAGCGATGCACATGTAAAGCTCTCAATCAATCCCAGATGCGGTGAGAACGGCTGGCGTGCTGCCCGTGGCCAAGTAGAACTGGCCATCGTACTTCAGCAGCATGCCCGTCGAGAAGCAGGCCTGGACCCAGAAGCTCGCTGCTTCCTGTGCGGGGTTCTTGCCCTGCCTCGGTTCGTGCTTGTCGACAATTAAGAAGCACGAGAAAAGTTCAGCCCTGGTCTGCTGACGGGGTGCTGTTGAGCCTTGCGGAGCCCCAGCATGAAGTTGAGGCAGTGGTGGTTGTGGAAGAAGGCGGTCGTGCTCGGAAAGGGCTTCAGGATGTTGTCCACCGCAACATTCTTGCCTGGGGCAAGCTCGTTGGTTGACGGTTAGTGACAACATGCTCATCACATTCCTTAAAAGGAAAGACTTCATCCAGCCCAGGAACAAGCGGGAGCAGAGGCAGGGTTGAAAGCTTTCGGCTTCACTCCGAGGGCTTGTGTTCCTACCCAGTCCGCAGCCTGCAACTTCACCTGAGCCGCCGATCCATCCTGCGCCCCAAGACGGTTCTGCAGAGACCGTACCCCAACCGCGAAAAGGTTGGGGAGCGAGCCGCAGTCACTGCGGCCAGACCGCTTCACAGCATCCTGAAGGTCTCCGAACACACTCTCCAGGGATGCCGACCAGGCCATTGGTGGGAACCAAGAGGCCGTGAGGGCTGTGGTCTCAGAGGTCATCTTCCAGCCACTTTTTTCGTACACTGTCATTACCTCTCGGTAGTGCTGGAAGGAGCAAAAGCTGCAGTGCTGCCGAAGGAGGCTTGCTCCAAGAGGGGTGTCTTCGAGGGCGAGTACCACTCGCCACTCTTGCTCCAGCTCCTTCAGAACGGCGTCCTTGGTGGGGCTGTCCTCGACCGTCGACAGCAAAGCAGCAGCTTTGGCGGGAGCAGACCGAAGAAACAGAACGTACTGCAGCATCTCGTGTATGCTTGCCAAAAGCATCTTGTGGCCCTCGTTGAGTGCACTGGAGAGCGAGTCGGCTCTGCGGAACTTAACTGTCAGTGCCTGCTCAAGGATGAGCAAGAAAGGAAACATGTTGTGTGACTCGTTGGTTCGGCTCTTTCCGTATGTGTGAGTGTCTCTCGCTCTCTCTCTCTCCCTTCCCTCCCTCTCTCTTTCATTTAGAATATAATCGGATAATTACTCGGATGGGAATTGTTTCGCGGTGCTAACTTGGCACAGGCACTCGCCGATTCTGCAATCTCCAAGCAGTAGCTCTGAATTGAATCATGATTGTCAACTGAATGGACAAGCTGATTGTGTCGAAGGCACCCATGTAGCTGCAAACAGCAGGAATCATGTGTTTGAGAGTCGGACAGCTAGAAAGAAAGCTTCAAGCCCGGCCTCTCCAGAGACAGCCATGTCCGGCAGCATGCCCAGACGGCTGCTGCTCAAGGCCGTCGTGGCCAAATCGACCAAAGTCGCTTCTAGGGCTTCGCCGTTCATCTTCAGCGTGTGGTCGCGAAGCGCATTCTTTTGGTTGGTGTTCTTTTGCTTAGTTTCCGTATCAGGTTTCCAGAGGGAAAAAGGCACTCAGGAACGAAGGCAAGCCTACTGCACACCGAAGACACTATTGCAGTCGAGTCGCAAGTTCAAGACAAAGCACCCTGAAGGGTCTGAGGACGTTCCGGGCAATCCGGAAGAGTGCGAAGTACTCCTCGCTGGTCAGCACCTGGGATTGCAGGATGTGTGGGATGCTGAGAATTTGGTTTGATTGGGGCTCAGTTTCGCACTCAGGGTTGCTTGACTTATTAACTTACAGTCACAGGCAGGCCTTCACACAAGTGTCCACCGTCTTGTCGTAGTTTTTCGCCTGCTGCCCGGAGTCGTTCTCGCACTTGAAGGGATTCTTTCCCACCTTCATTCGAGCCGTCACTAACATGTTTACGTCTGGGTAAGATTCACATTTACACAGCTTTGCAACTTGCACTCCGACCTCCATTGCACTCCAGAATATCAACAGCAGGGAGGCGGTCATCTGAAAGCGCTCGGCCGTATGTGCAAAACTGCACCAGCGAGACCATGAAAAGGTCTCGGCGTTGAACCTCGCAGATACGTTATTTTAATCTATTTTCAAGCACAATACTATTCTTTATTCCAAGCCACTAGACTACTCTACTAGCTAATCCGTAACCCTCAACCGATCAACACTCTAAGTTATACAAAAGCCGAAGTAAGTTACTATTATTGTGATCAATAAAGACGATCCAGGATTTAGTGTTGACAAAGCATATTTGCATATACTACTAAAACTGATTCAGCTATTACGAAAGCCCTAAGCCCTAAAGCTTAAACTAACACGAATCGCCCGTTGAACTATAATGCACACCAGCGGCTTGCACACTTTGCCCAGGACATCCATAACTCGGTTGAAGTTCAGCTGCTCGTCACTGGTCTCCTCGAAACCGTTCCTTGGCATTGGGCATTTTAGGAGGATAACCTGGGTCAGTCCAACGGTGCTGGGTTCATATAAGACTCTCTTTCAAGATGTCTCGCTGGAACATTTGCATCAATACGTCGCCGGGCTTCGCCTTAGATTGCAATCTTGCTACAACAAGCTGTGGACAAGAAAGAGACTGTACATCACTTGTTCCAATGGTGCAGCTGTGCTGCGGTTTGCATGTACCGCTCACCTGCTTCACTCAGCAGGTTCCCGAATCCCTGCGTGTGCCACGGGGTTTTCCTGGCCCGAAAGAGCCATCCACATAGCATCGTCATTCCTAGACGGGTTTGTGGATCGCACACTGCAACTATCAGAATCAGAGCCCAAATCGTCTAAGTAAATGCAGCGAGGAAGCTTTTCACGGCAGGACTGCAGGAGGTCACCCTTCCTTGATGTGCATGCAATTTGTGCCTGGGCGTGGGGGTTGGGCCGGGCTCGGAGAGGCTGTTCAATGGTTTGCGGACAATGAAAACCATGTTGCCACCAGGGGACAGCTCGTCGCGAATCAAAGAGATGTTCGCTCCCGACAATGCTAAGAACTGAAAGCAAGTGTGCAGCGGGGACCCTTGGTCGGCACAAAGCACTAGGCGGATGTCCTGTGTGGCGGAGTGCATTGGAATGTCCCAGCGGACCTGCCCCGTCTCTTTGTTGAAGATGAATGCAAAGTTCTGGGAGTTGAGCTGAAGGACCTGCCTCTCTTCCATGCCGGGGACTTTTGAAGTCAATGGATTCCTTGGGAAGAAGGCATCCAAAGCCATCCCGACATGGCTCAGGATGTTCATCACAGCCTTGAGCTCTTGCCGGCTAGCCAGTTTCTCCTGTTTGATCGCGTTCAGGGCTTTGGGCCTGGGTGTGTGCATTCATAATCGACTCACTCCGAAACAGAACAACAGCAGGATGCTTCAATTGCTGACCGAGCTTCAGCTGTTTTTTCAGATCCTTCTGCTTTGTCTCGGCCACCACATTGCGAGTCCGGGAGTCGGCGACCATGGCGGCGACTTCCATCTTCTCTTCGGGGCTGGCACTTGAGGGGAGCAAACCACTCAGCCTTTGCAGGGTAGCAAGCCCAATCTTGTTCGGCATCACGATGATGGGAAGCCAAATCTCGGGATCGCAACAGTCGTGCAAAGCGAGATGCAAGCAGTCATATTATTGCAACCGAGTAACATCCATCTTGGCTTTGGGGGATGCGTCGCAGAGCACCCCCACACTCTTGAATTTCATCTTACCCAAGGCCTGTGCAAAAGAGGGAAGGGAGTCTCAAGGCCCATTGATGTTTGGCGGGCCTCCTTCAAATCATCTTGAGTTCGCCGAAGATACCGACACATAAAATCCGAGGTGGTCCTGCTGTTTATTGATCTCTGGGTTTGCGTGCGGGTTCTGTTCAGGGTTTGTGATGTCACTGGGTCACAAGCAGCAAGGGTTTAGGTGCTCTTATTATTGCACAATGACTGCACTTAGATTAGAGCCCCTGGAAAGTGGCCAGGTTTTAATACATCCTATAAATTTTAAAAGAAGCCTATGTTATATTAGATAAGAACCAGAAATAAATAGTGAAACCCGCCAGACCTTTCAGTAGAGGTCCTAGCCTAGCTAAGTCCCACACAGAAAGAATCCCGAACAGTCCTCCCATAATGAGACGGGCACATTGCCTCGAGACCAACATCTCTGAGGGAAGCGTCCATCCCCTTGGAGCAAAAGCCCCCTCCTCGGGAAATAAATCTGTCGATAGCCATCTGTGCCCGAGGCTTGCAATCATCGCGAAGAGTTCGGCCATCCCTGGAAGGCGGGGGACATTGCTACACGGCGTGCGAGCACAGCTAGGATGTGTAACGAACAGAACGGAAGAGCTATGGATCTATGATATGCAGCTAGGGAACTTGGTCATGGGGTGGAACGTGTGGTCGGGCTGCAATGGAGGCATCTGCTGCTGTCCGATGCCACCCACGATCTCCCGCTCTGCCTCCTGGCTGAGCGAATGAACCAGGCGTCTTTGAAGCCTGCCCCAGGTCACTTGGTCCTGCAAAAAGCAGCACACAGACTCAGTTTTGGATGCATAGCACTAGCTCGCAAGGACGGACCCCGAAAAGACACAGGGCAGAGAGCAAGCGAGGGAGAGAGAGAGAGAGAGAGAGAGAGAGACAGACAGAGGGATAAGGTTTGGGGTTGGGCATTTGGGGATCAGAATTGAAATCTGTCCTGGAAGTTATCCTGATGGGGCTGTCGAAGAATGAACCACGTAGCCACAGGCAAGCGAATGCCTGCAATCAAATGATGCGGCTCGCTAGCTTGTCAAGCACGACGTGCAAGCTAGTGTTTATCTGGGGCCTGTGTCGATGTTCTGCTCTTCCGTGCTGAGCAGCCTGCAATGGTGCCACCTGCCAAAGCCCAGGATGCTGTGGCAACAAGCCCCAAAAGTGCCTAAGTTTAATTCGAGGGAAGCCTGTCGCGGATACCCGCATATTCCAGGAATCGCTTCCAGCTCTGCAGGGTGACGTGGCCATCGGCAATCTGCAACCGACCTGACAACCAAAGATAACTTTTGGTTTCGACGAGCGAGTCAGAGAAAACTAAACCAAGAGACAGAGAGAGAGAGGCGAGAGATCGAGGTGAAGTCAAGGCTTTCTTTGGGCTGTTCAGGGATGAGGAAAAAGTCAGAATTATTGAGGTTTGAGATTCCGGATTGGGAGATCAGACATTGGACCGCTTTTTCGCGTGCTTGAGTGTCACTCACAGCAATGCCTGATTCCAGCGATCGGTCGCGTTCTGGTTTTGTCGTCAACCTGATGCCTGCTGTAGTTCCTCATGGCACCCGTTTTATTTGTTATTTCTTCACTTTGCTCTTTGGTAGTGAATTATTCAGGATCACCTAGGCACTGTTGTCTGTGTCTCCGACCCTCTTGCTCTCTCGCTGACCTGTAACAATCCGAGTCGCATTCCTCCTTGTTGGGGAGCAGAGGAATCTGAAGGCTCCCGGTTATGCACGTCCCAAGAATCACACCGAGGCAATCAAGTGCACCCTTCTGCACATCGGGCCGGCAGCCCCTCGTCTGCAGGACGTAGGATGCCTGGGGTAGTTCAGGGTGTTGTTGTGTCCGAGTCTAAGGCATGACAAAAGCAAGCGAAACGAAGCCTCTCAAAGCATCCAAGCCACCGTGAAAATGGCACCCGGAATCGTCAACCCTTCAAAGGGTATCTTCATTCTGTCCGAGGAAACTTTGCTGCCGTGCCCCTTGTAAGAGGATTTGCGGATCATGTGGGTATCCACATCGATCCGCCAACTTTCGGCGATATCCAGTGCCAGCCCATCTTGCCTTGGAAACGGCAGTCAAGTCTATTGCCATGAGACAGATCACTCACTGACAGCAACAATTTGCATCAAGCGTGCAGCAGAGGCTCAGCTTCGAGAAGAAATTCGAATATAGTTGGCTTCTTTTTGTGAGAGCCCACACCTCCTCTGCACGTAGCAGGATAGAGTAGCCCTGCAGGCGCTCAGGAACCTCGTGAGTGGACAACCACAGAACAACATTCAATAAGGGAGAGACACATACAGACACCCACACAAATGCCCAGAGGTACATGAAATCACTCTTTGCACTCCGGGACCTTGTGCAGCTGCAGCACACCCCGCACGGCACTCTGTGATCTCAGGTACAAGATCTCCGTCGCCGTGTAGCTCTTGGAGGAGCTGGGCGGGCTGCTGTGCTGGGACTCGCCGTCCTGCTCAATCGCCATCTGCTGCTGCTGCGGTGCCTGGGCCAAATCATCATCTTTCTGAAAGATCGTCGGTCTGAAATAGACCTTCTGCTTGGCAAAGCCGGCACGATGCACGTCCAGTGCCTCCTGCATTGACTTGAGGGCACATGTGTATTTGTGCGTGTGTAGCTTCGTGGTTGCTGTTGCTGTTGTTGTTGTTGTTGTTGTTGTTGTTGTCGTTGTGGTTGTCGTCGTCGTCGTTGTCGTGCTGGCTGTCGTTCTGGTTGTTGTTCTTGTGGTTGTTGTTGCTGTTGTTGCTGTTGCTGTTGTTGCTTTGGCTGGTGGTTTGTCTAGAGTCTAGGCTTGCTTGTCTCGTATCTACTTGATGCTGTGTTTCTCTTTGTGTGTGTGCAGAAGGATAGATAGATGGGAAGAAACACATAGGTAGATAGATAGAAAAGCAAAGCGAATATAAAGATATAGATGTATCGTGTCAAGATAGTATAAATACCTGTATGATACCATATATGCATGTATACGTATATCTGTCTCTCTGTCACTCTCATTCTCTCTCGGCTTGTTTGGGTCTCTCCTGCTTGCTTGTTGCAAGTCTCCCTCTACTTGGTGTTTTTCTCTGGCTCTCTGCGTTGCTCTCTGTCTGTCTCCAGAATTAGAATTGGTGTAACAGTTTGTCCTCCCAGGTCTGCGGGGTCATGTCGATATCTCCCAGCTTCTGATGCGCGAGGAAGGAGGAGTCGATGAAGGAAAATTGTTTATAAAGTCTTGCGAGGAAGTTGTCCCGTTCCTCTGATCCATGGACTAACCTGAGGCCAAGGGGCAAGCAAAATTGCAAGTCTGAGCGAGCACGTTTGCGACTGAGCGAGCACGTATAGGTGTAGCCAAGGCACTCGGACAGCTCACGGAGCCTGTCCCCAAGCCATCGGGCACCAGCCATAGATTCGGCTCGTCCTCGGTTGCGGATTCATGCTTGCTGGATTTTCGGGGGTTTTGGGGGCACACTGTTCCTCTCGCACGGTCACCGTGCGGCACGTTGCGGGCAGAAAAAAGTTTGCAAGCACGCTCTCCCTTTAGACCGCCACTTCGGGCAAGCACGCACTAAATCCAAGGATGCTTCGAGGAATGTGCGTCCAGGGGCCGTGGCCCGGGTCTAAAAATTCATGGTGCTCGTAAACTTGTTTGTGCCGGCACCGTGCGTGCAGTTGCGGGCGAATGCCCGGTCGCGTTTTTGGAGCGAGCACGCTACTGTCGAGGAAGCACGTATTCTGCGGGCAAGCACGTATTGTCGAGCGAGCACGCACACATGCGAGAACGGCCCCGATTTTTGTGGTCTTTTGTAAAGCCTTTAAAACGTTCTAAAATAACCAGGAACCAGGCATCCCCTTCTAATCTCTCTTTAGGACCAGTCGGCAAATTTGGCAAATCCAGAACCGAGCCCGAATCCCGGCCGCTTGGCCGGGCCCTCCCTGGGAACCCTAGACTATAACCTTATTGTTGCTTAGTCAAGTGCAGGCAGCCTCCAAAAACCGCGGCCCAATTTCCCGGACACCCTGACTTGTCGTCTCTCTGCGGCCCAGGATCTCTGGATGGATCGGCTGCGATCCACCAGGACCAGGAGCTCGAATGCACATCGGCTGTAACTAAACTACTTCAAGTTGGGAGGCGGCTTTCCTTTGCAATTCGGGCTCTTTTTGATTTTGGTTAGGGCCAAAGAATCCAACAAAGGATTCCTGCTACGGGGTCATGTTGAATTTGGACTCAATCATTATTACAATCTCTTGTGTAGTCTGGACCCAGCACTTGGGCGGGTTATGATTATTACATTTGGGTTCGTCTCTTAGTACTATGCTGTAATTTGTTGACAAAGACAGTATTTACACTAACACCTTTACTGTAGTCGGTTTGTTTCGGGCTTATTAAGTGAAACTAGTGAGTTCGGGTCTGCTTTGTATGGGCTCGGATATATGAAATGCCACTAGACTATTCAGGGCTTCTTCACGGTGGTCCTGGTCTAATGTGTTTCAAGAATATACTTAGGATGCTCGGCGTTCCTCTGATTTTGAGGTTTCGCTCCAGTTCATCAGACTCTTCAGACAGAACCCGGGGCCCTGCTTCACATGTGTCATGGATCCATGTACAGCCAGCCAAAGCCTGCAACACAGCGGATTCCCAAGTCAGTGCTTCAAGCCCATGAAAAAAAAGCAACTTCTGCTGCGATTCGGTGGCAACACGAGACTCGAGACTGGAGCTGACCGTTGAATCATTTTTGGGCGCCCGCATCCAGACGAGCCTTCGGTCTAGCAAGGCACGGACCTCAAAACCGAAGACGGAAGCCTCCTGCTCTGCGAAGATTGGGTGTTGCATGTCCAGGAGTAGAGTTAGTTACCACCCTTGACTCCTACCCGTGTCTAAGAGTCTAGTTAAGACTCTAGTCTATTATCATTATAGTCACGACAAGAAACCCTTCCAAAACTACTTAGCTTTTAACCAACCCTACTATAAGTATGATAAGAAACCTCCTACAGACACCCGCAATATTTAATATCCTCAGCTAGGAGCTTAGCTAGTACATCTCCGAAAGAAACTAGACTAGAATACGGCAACCCTGGCTGAT